AATATATATATATATATATATTAATGTTATATGATATCAGAAGTTTAACTTGGAAGAGTTGGAAGAGTTCTAATTGGAACTCTAGGGTTAAGGAAGATTGAGCTGGAGCAGTGGAAGGATGGGTGACCTACTGGGAAGTGAGTTTCGAGATCGTGGTTTGGTCGGGTCGGGTCGGGGTCGGGTCGGGTCGGCTCGAGAATATGTTTCGAATTTTTCGTTGGAAAATTCTAACGGAATGCGGTTGGAATTCCGTTGGAAAATTCCAACGGATGCCGGTTGGAAATCCGTTGGAAATTTCCAACGGAAAAATTCGTTGCAATTCCGTTGAAAATTCCAACGGTTTTTCAACGGACACCGATTTCTAACGACGAAATTCCAACGGATAAATCCGTTGGAAATCCGTTGGAAACGTTAATTTCCAACGGATTTACCCGTTGGAAATGACCATTTTTTTTGTAGTGTCTGTTCGTGTAAATGCTGCGTATACTTCCCCGACAGTACCTCAGCCGAAACAAAATCCTCCTGCGTCTGATCCGGGTAGTCTCAGGCTGTCTGGCATCACTCGTGATCAATGGAAGGTGCTAGTTGAGCTTGTGAACGCGACACGAGTCGGGCTACGAACACTACTTCATGTATACATTTTTCTAGTACATGGATTATTTATTCTGGGGCTGGAAATCACATGACGGGTCAGTTGCATATGTTGTCCGATGTTTCTCCGATGCCTCCTTGTGATGTTGGTTTTCCAGACAACAATCAGGTTTTTCGGTTCAGAAAAGAACCGTATGGTTAACAGATCAGTTCTCGACACGCAACGTTTTTTTTTGTTCCCAGATTGACGTGTAACCTGATTTCAGTGGCTCAGTTGCTTACCGATTCAGATTATGTTGTTCAGTTTACTCATCATATGTGTGTGATTCAGGAGCGGTATTCGAGGATGCCAATTGGAGTGGGTGAGCAACGTAATGGACTTTACTATCTTCGGGGATTCGTGACTGCAGCGGCGATTCACAGCAAGAACTCGGCGGCGTTTGAGTTGTGGCACCGTCATTTAGGTCATCCATCTCCTAGTATTACATCATTAGTTTCTGGTTTTGATGTTTCAAGTTTAGATTGTTCTGCTAATAAGGCTTGTGAGTTTTTTCTCCGAGCCAAGCAAACTCGTACCTCGTTTCCTTTGAGCAGTAATAAGACCGATTAGATTTTTCAGCTTGTGCATTGTGATATTTGGGGTCCGTATCGCACTCCCTTGTTCTCTAGTGCTCGATTTTTTTGACAGTGGTTAATGATTTTTCTCGCTCGGTTTAGCTCTACTTACTGAAAGTCAAATTCAAGGCAGCACATTACCTTCTACGTTCATTGCTATGGTGGAATGACAATTTCACGTTCAAGTAAAAACCGTTCGCAGTGATAACGGTTCTGTTGGTTTAGTGCTTTATGATGTACTGCTATACAAGCTTTATTTAAATACATTTGATGTATTGGCACTTACTATGGTTGTATGGATGAGTGTTTGATTCATTACATGTTTTGCATACTATAATATGTTATGAAATCCATGTATTGTTATGAACAGTACTAAACTCCCTAGTCATATATCATTGTGGGAACAATGATATACTAAGACTAGTATGATGTGTGATAGATGATCATGAAGATGATCATGGGTATTGGATACAATCACAATCATAGGTATTCGTTGGAGAACGGAATACTGGATTGACGCGCATGAGATTGTCACATGGACTAGTGTCATGACTTGAATCTCATGTGACGGTTCTTTGATTGGATCATGTGACCTGAGATGTCTACGGAATCCAACATGAGGAGTTGCGTACTTTGAATACGTCAAACGTCATGCGTAACATGAAGACTATAAAGGCATGTATCAGGTACGACACGAATCATGTGCTGGATTGTAGATGGTCAAGATAGAATTTGTACCTCGCGTAAAAGAGAGAGATATCGGTGGGGCCCTCGTGTGAGCAAGACTGTATAAATGTATGGCCACACTATAGACGAACGTCGTCTATTTCGTACAGTCGAACTCATTGAACGAGAAAGCAGTCAAATCAGATAAGATGGCTTCTCCATGCCTTATATTTGACATATGATATCGTGATACAAAAAGATCATCAACCGGAATCATCATTGACGTTCATAAGATCACAAACAAACTCTATTCGAGATAGGTAGTCATAGTGTCTTGCTAGAGACCGCCTATGACTTGTATATTGATAACGCAAATCTAGGTGTGTAAATAAGCTCAAGTAATAAAAAACCTAGATACAGCGAATACCGCAAGGATACGGATCAACTGTAGTATCATGGT